ATCACGCCATTACAACACAATAAATATGACTATACCTTTTCAACTTCAAGTGAATCATTCTGGTGGCAACTGTGTCAACCATCGTATCAACGGCTGTTCATAAAGCACGACAATGGTTGCTACGGTTACCAACAGAATGAGATCAAATAAATTCGACAGATTTCTCGTCCAGATTGTTTAGTNCTTGACAATAGGTTTATTTCGTCTACCGTTCAGCACATTATGGTTGGTAATACAATGCAGAATTATATGCGGTCGCGAACCCTCTCCCTACCTCCCTCTCTACGGGGAATATCAGAGAAGTGTTGAATTGCACAATATCATCAAGAGACATGTTTGTAGTTCACACACACGAATGAGACCAGACTGTGTGCCAAGCAAATCAGAGCAAGATCATCTTTATAACACGCGACTCTTTGCCCGTCTTTTTGTTGAATCGTTTTATGGAGTTGGATGTTTCGTGATCAGAACCCGATGAAAACGGGATGTGAAACTGTTTGTCTAGATCTCTGCACGTGTGGGGCAGCGCACAAGAGACGTTTGTCGTTTTGCACAAAATCATGTGTTTGACCATGTACACACACACACACTATGGCTCGTTTTGAATTCGGTCTTTGGTTAGCTATCCGCACCAGTTTTGTTTTCCAATTGTATATCCTTAGATGAAACTCATTAGATCATTTATCACAAAAAATCTGTAACTTTTTTTACCGTTAATTAAAACGACTGGCTTTTCGAGCTGACCATCAATGTAAGCACGATTGTATTAGTCTGGAATATCCGTTTGTTTCATTCGAATGACGTATATATTATATTTATATACTTTTCACACAAGTCTGAGTTCAGACTGTGCCAAACAAGTCGCGCTGCAATAATCTTTATCAAAAGAAAGACGTTCCGTGATTTGCATGTGGGCTGGATACTGCTAGGTTGCCCAGACCAAGGCAGGTGAATTTTCTTGAGGAATCCACAACCGGGGCCTTCGGCTAACCTAAGCCTTACCCGCAAGTCAACGGGGCGGTGTGAAAACCGCAGTCCATTAGGAGTTAGCGTCCAGTTCATCGAATCATATGCTTTTCGGACGGGCTCAAACGTTCAAGGTGCCCAATACACCTCGATGCACAATTTAGCCGGTGACCGTTGCCACAACCAAAGCGTGTGGGTGTCATTCATCCCTCATACCACCATATTTTACGTCGATAATTTCCAGTTATTGTTATTGTTTCTACTCACCCTTCCCTATTTCATATTGATTATTTGAGACGACTAATGAATGCATTATTAGGCATATTAGGCACGCTGTATCTCAGTGTAATGTCTCGATTTTTTCATAAATTTTCTTGTGGTCGAAAATTGTTTCCTAAACTTCGATCACTTTTTCTCGTGCACACTGGAAGTATGTGGTCAACGCAGACGGTGAGGCTCGACGTCTGTCCGGAACACCAGTGGTCCCTCAGCGCAAACGCATTACACGGCAATCGGTCCAGAATCATGTGGACTCCAAGCGTTGGCGTTATGCATCCCCGACTATTTTGGTTCCCGACTCAGTCAAAAAAGCCGGTCCGAGTCCATGGGATGCGTTTGATGAGGCTCAGGATCCAGCAGACTCCAGTCTGTTAGATCCCACATGGCGCATTTCGGATTTATCCATACAAAATGAAGATACTCTCAGCGAGTTGCCTTCCGATTTGCATAGGAATCCTCACGTATGTGAATTACAATCGGTTTTTTGTCTCTTCGATACATCCATCTTGATCGTAGTTACTAACGCTTATGGTCGCTAACATTTAACTTCTCTAGTCATCACGGTTTGTTCTGTGCTGTCACTCTATGTGCTTGCGTGCAATCATGTTTCTCCAGTCTTTCGAAAACTTGTTAGACTAATGCTTGCTAGTTGGAAGGTCAGATGAAGTCTTTGATCAAATAAGTGGGATAAAAAATGTAAACCCAATAAAAGAGTCAATGTTTTTTCGATCACTGTTTCCACTCATTGGATAAATAGAGCTCGTGGATCACTCGATCACCTTCGGTGGTTTCTATTAAGCGGGGTTTGTGATTGTCACTCATTACTTGATCGGGTTCCAACACTGGTTCCTGAAGAGGATGATGAAGCAAAGTGCAAACAGCCAACCACTCGGGCAATTTGACTTCCGGATTAATTGATACCTGACACACTTGGATGTGTGGCAAACGGTTTTCACGGTTGTAACCATTTTTCATGTGGACCTCTAGTCTTCGTCAAACGCCCTACTTGCGATACTGTTGTCGAAATTCCTGAAGAATGGAATGTACTGCGTTGGTGATCCATGGAAATAAGGGATCTCACACCTAGGCAGCTCGTTTTGGTTTGGTAAGAGACCAGTCTTACGCAACTCATAGTCTGAGACATCGACGAGCTTTGGTTTAACTCCCATTTCCACGGGTGTATTACGAACCTTCTCCAGTGTACCACCATCTGAGTAAGTCCCTTGACATGTTGAACTAACACTGTCTATATGATAAGGCAACGAAACAGTTTCGATAACGTCTTTCCTTTCTCTGTTGCGTAACATCTGAGCAGCTTGGCTGCCGCCGTTCCACGCGTCTCCTCTGATGCCTTCATCTGGAATTGTGCACTCTCTAGTTCTACCTTAGCCTCACCATGAAAAGCAACATTCTCATAGTCTTGCCAACAATAGTCAGACTTACCAGGGGGAGATGCATCGGTCTGAGACTCGTATTCCGAAGATTCCTGACTGGACGGATCCATAAGACATAAATGTCAAGAAAGAGACGAAATCGATGAACCGCTCACTGAGGGCGAATTCACCGCAAACAAACGAATTCCTCAGCTCGATCAAAGTCACGATTACAAGAAGGCAATGGAATGTGCAAACAAGATATGGGCACAGAAACGTTGGCTTGACACAAGTCCAATTGTCATTAACGGGTTTCAAATATTCGATGGACGAATCCTGAGCAATCCACATACTGTTGCCTCCGCTAGAGCTCGTGATTCCAATAGGCGTATTAGGTTAAACCAAAGCCGTGACCTAAGACGAACGAGCTTGAACTTCGCAGTAACGCTAAAACAGAGTATCGTCGCGCATTGCGAAGGTATTCCAACTGCTGCTATTCTGAAAGTGAAAGAAAAATATCTTCGCCGTATTCACCTATGCAAACAGAAGGACGGAAAACATATTGAGCAACTTTTATAAAACAAGTGTACATTTTTCCGTAACCTTTGTTCTTTTCTTTCGGAATTCTTTCTCGGATGTTGTTAGCAAGATCATTCAACGCGAAAGCAACCGGTTGGGAAAATACCAAGAAGAGTTTTGTGTGGGCCTACAGTAGTGGTCCATTCAAAGTTTCATTATGATTATCCGTTTACCGAACCGGCTTAGAAAAATGGTGCGTGTATCTTAGACGTATCAAGCGTTCGTTCATTGTCATCATCGCTTGAACTCTTTCCATTCGGAATTTCCGACATGGCGCATCGCTCCAAAACTGGTTCTTCTGTGGTAATCCTCTACCAAAACGTAAACAATATCAGATTCAGAGCTTCCCCTCCTCTTATGCTGACCCGAAAATCACATCTCCGATCGGGTTCATTTGTCGATCAGTCGGACGTGGGATCTAGTGCTTGCTTAGCTCACCCGAGCGGAAACTCACACCTTGTCTACAGGTCTGAGACTTTAAGAGACCCAGCGAACTTCGACTATACAACAGGGTTGCTATCACCACACAGATGGACTGCACGTGAAAACAACAAGGGCACCACAGAAAGATTGAGAGATTCCAACGGGCGCAAAACGCTGGAACTGATCTAATCAGATCACAGAGATAGTCAAAGAGAATTCACTTGTTCGAGGTCACGGGCGAGAGGGAGATGGCAATATGAGACGATGGAGCAATCGCACTGTATATCTTATTTCTCACCTTTATGCACACTGCTAGCCAGCAGAACTTGGTGTGCGTGGCTGAATGTAATGTACTTCGAGAAGAATCGTATGGGGACATATGTATGTCTAAGTGATTCCTGATACTTAACAAAGAGCTGATATAATTTTAAACTGGAACAACCACAATGTCGAATCCCCGCCGTACATAGTCACCATAGGAATCAATTCAGTTCAGTTTGTACAACCGTTAACCACGCATATTCGTGCACCGGTTTTGGTTGCTATATTTTGGCTGCCCATTGGGATGAAGAATAGGTGAAGAAAGCAAAGTTGAAAGTGAAGTCGAACAGAAAATGGAGAAGTTCAGTGGTCTAAGGTTGCGAAGAAATTGAGAAGATGCGCGAACGCCACTGTTTGCGACACCCAGCCATATCACTCAGTGTCTAACCAACGGTTATGACCATCCTGAGATCCCCAGTCAGGGAGCCTAACAGGACCTATGTGACCCAGTTTCCTGGTTAGGATTTTCATACCCTCGTGCCAGGCCTTAGCTTGACCACCCTTGGCTTTTTTCCACTCGGTATCTGCTTCGGTGAACACCGCTCGCTGTGGTAACTTATTTGGTGACATGCGTAACACATGATTTGTATGTGGGCTGAATACTGCCAAGTTGCCCAGGCCAAGGTAGATGAATTTCCTTGAAGAATTCACAACCCGAGCTTTCGGTTAGCCAAAGCCTGACCTGTAAGTCAGCTGAGTGGTGTGTGAAAACCGCCATCCATTGGGGTCCACTGCCCGGCACATGGAATTATACACCCTTCGGACGATGTTAAACTTTCAAGGAGCCCAATACCTCTGATGCCCAATTGAGTTGTTGAACACTGCCTCAACCGGGAAGGTGTGTGTAGTTCTTACGCTTTCTCTCGTATAGCTTGGAATCAGGGTTTTTGGCCCCTCCCTTTGGTGAACTACCGGTGGTTCACCAACTCGGATATCGGTTATTCGTCCTTTTACTTGGGCGAGACAACAGCTCCGCAATGCGTTAGGCTGTAGAGGCTACAACGCGACATCACTAAAAGTGTGCATTGCGTTCTCGTCATGTAGTGGAGCACACAACACGCTCGATTTGTTATTCCCGATTCGTTTGTTACTCCTTTTCCTTGGCGAACTTTGGACTCCATTGCCATTTTATGAGGATTGGACCGCAATGTAAAAGTAAACATTTTTCTCAATTGGTTGTGCTGCGAGGCAATTTTCAGGTGAACAAGTCCCATCTATTCACATTTTGTTTAAAAAAAGGTTAAAAATGAACGTAGGAATGCATGTTTGTATCTCAGTTTTGCTGCTCCAGCGAAGCCCCACAGTTACGAACGGTATTTTGGTAAGGGCTGGTTTACACGATGACGACCGGAAGAGTTATCAGTAACCTCGTGGTGTAGCCTTCAGGTGTTAGTGCAATAATGGTTTCAGTCAAACGCGGTGGTTGAAGTTCTATTTTTGGTGTGCATCATTTTACGTTTCATTTTATTTCCTCGTGGGCCTTACTCCATGCCCGGAATGCTCTGTCTTCCTTTTTTGAGCTGATTCATATGATTGTTGTATCTACCACTCCATCACCGAATCGTGTCGCACGACAATGCGGCTCCCAACAATTCCACTGAAACGAAAATTACAACAAACGAGTGAGTGTCTGTTGGAATCTCCAAAACAGTGTTGACTAATGAAGAAATGTACCGTAATGATAGTGATTCGCAAACTGTAGATCTTTCCCGAACGAAAATTGTGACAGCACCAATGGGGCGAATGAAGCAATTCGATTGCATTATTCTGTCGGTTATCCTAAAATAAGTGTCCGTTCCTGACTTACTGCAAACTGTTCATCACAAATTGTGGTGCAGACTAGAATGATTGCAGCATGTAAGACAGATTCCATAGGTTACGCAACCAAAAAAAGACCTGAATTAAGCTAGCGCGACCTGAAATTTCCCGTCAGTTTCACTTTCTGTGCCTATTTTCTGGTTAGTTCTGGAAGTAGTAATCATTGTATTACTCTAGTTTGGAGAGAAATCGAATATATCCTACATAACTTCGAAAAAATAACTAAGATTTTCATGATGAAACTCGATCGTATCACATTGTGGAGTGGTTGCCGGTTACCTTGGCTAGAGTTCAGTACTCACAGCCTATTCGACTTCGGTAAACGGATTTTGCCGTAATATGTTAGCATTTGTGCGGTGACTCGTTATTATCAACCAGTCCTTTGATTTATATTAAGTGTTTTTGGATATCGTGGTCTGCTAGTTGTTTTTCTGACAATTTTTCTATTCACTCTCCTTCCCGTTAACTTACTTTCCATTCGTATAGTCCGGTCCCGGCACTCGTTGTAAATGTCGTGGGGAATGTTTGAATCGTTGTAGTTGTCGTCGAGCTGGTCACGAGTGCACCGCCGGACATTGTCGTTGCGTGTTGGGTAAGTGTCAAAACCGTGGATCTGCCACAAAGCAGGCCGATGCGAACATGGGACCTCCAGTCGTAGTTCCTTTGGGACAGAAGAACAAGCGACGCAAAACCGAAACTGCTCTGAATCAAATTCAAGAATCTACGGTCGCGGTCAGCGGGGCCGTACAGCACGTTCCCCCGGAAACAAAAGCTTTGCTCAATCGTACATTCGATCTGGAGCCAGATGAAAATCGTACTCCCGATGCTCCACATGCTGATCTTTTAGAAGCCTCGGTGCCTCTAGTTGACATTGGAGGAAAATTGCTATGGCCCAAAACTCGACTCTCCTATTTCCCGAGTCCAAGTTTGCGAGCCGACATGTGATGTATCTCTTTATTCACGAGATCCAGCAGTTGACGCTTCCATCCCACTGTACTAATACCCCCGATTTAAATTGGACTTCTGGCATACTAACGTGCACACGCTGACGTGCTTTTTACTTCTGAAAATTCAATCGATTCCCGTGCTTCCGGATCTCAGAGCGACTACACGTGCATGACTCTCTCTCTCTCTCTTGCTCTCTAAAAGTGTTTTTGCAACACTTTTAGATCACTATATGTTGCGCTGTTCCCATGTGAAATTTTGTTTCCTGTGTTGTGCTATCCATATGAGCAATTATTCTGGTCTATCCGAACGCACCCACCCCCGTCCCTCTCGTTTCTTTGCTTGTTCTCCTATCTCATACGGGAAATTCCCCGTCCACTGTTATGGACCCAATTGAAGTTCAGATAACAAAAAGATTTTACGCATCATTCTGAATACTCATGCACGGTGACGGTCGTAGATCGATCGTTTGTTGCAGGCGTTCATGCATTACCGATTTGAACAAACCGAGTCAAATCAAACGCCTTGGACTGTGGACGAAAAAATGTCAGTTGGAAAAATTATCACAAAATTATTCGGTGTGTGTGCAGGCTGGTTACCGGTGAGTTTAGACACAGGCTGGTCACCTGATAGTGTGGGTATATATCTGTCGTCGCTAACGGTATATGATGCAATTGTGGAACTCTTGGACGTAGCGGGTCAAGTCTGGTTTTGCCTGTGATCAATGAACACGTGTAATAGTTGAGCGGGTTATGGGAGGTGAGTTTCTTCAAATGTCAAGGGTTGCCCCGTTTTCTACACCATTTTCAGACGCCATTTCTCGCGCTCGTTTTGTCGTTGTTCCTCTTCCTCACTGTCCTCGTTCTCCGCGCTGGCCAATTCGAAGAAATAGTTGATAAACACTTTTATCCCGTTAATGTAGTTCCGAATGGCCAGTCGTTCGTTGTTCTCGTGTTGAAAATCCAAACTCTGACCCATTGGGATTAGGATGACGTCTTTTTTGGTCGATTCCTATCGAGGAACGGTACAAACAGGTTTGTTTAAGCACGAGGATGAGGAACCGGGATAAAGACATTTCATGCAAAACTAGGGCCATTTTTAAACTACTGTTATAATCACAATAGGACAATGAAAATTTGCTTTTTGTTCAATGTACAGGAGCTTGCTTGTCATGGTCAAGTTTTTGACGTAAAACAGTTTCAATTGGGTTTAATCTCATTCAGTGGGTAAGGTGTTTCGTAAGAAAAAAATGTGATTATCCTAGCCGTCGTTAATGAGATAACGTGTACTTGCGCTGGCGATTTTGTCACCCTTCTGAAGAGTTCACCTCTGGCTCTTTACTGATCATGTACGGTTTATTCAGAACCAACTAGGATTGTGAAGATAAAATTGGAATTTCGGTGTGTTCCCCTTCGGAATTGGTTTAACCTAAAGCATGTTGAAAAATGCTTCCATTCGCGGGTTGCACATATTAAATTTGTTCTGGTTTATTTTTAAACAACTGCACAGTACTGCGTGATCCCATTTAGACATATACAAGATATCGATTGCCATCTGTCTACCATCCGATCTACGAATACACAATGGTCGCTTAAAAGTCACTCAAATACATACGAGATGGGGCTGGAAGAGTAGTGGTTTACGGTGCTATTTTCAGCGATGTACGAATAATCTTTCAAGTAACCTACACACATGTCAGTGGATAGTTCGCTTTCTCGCTGAGCTTTCATCCAAACCGAATTCTTAAAGCGCGTGGATGACGTTGCAATATACTTACTATGAAGAACGAGGTGGGCATTGGTGTTTGTGGCTCAGTGGTCTAGGGGTATGATACTCGCTTCGGGTGCGAGTGGTCCCGGGTTCGAATCCCGGCTGAGCCCCGGATTTTCCTGCGTCATTCCTTACGGTGAACATGTCGGAAATGTTTTGCAAATGTGAGTCCTGCACTTGACCAAACTGAATGATTCCACACCTGGCTCAATTCAGTTCGCTGGAACACCGAAGAGGAGTCATTTCCGTTGTCCTAACGAGTCGAGTGGACGTACATGCAGCGTTCGAAGAATACCAGGGCGCACAGTTGACAGTGTTGCCCTGGAACGTACACGTGTGTATGCAGGTTTCTGTTTGTTTAAATTCATTAATAATACCATTGCACACATCTTGTTTGCTGAACAGAAGGTGGTATAACCCATAGTCGCAAAGAACTGCCTTCCGTTGATGGAAACCGTCGGTGATAGCGCAGTTGTTGTCACTGGCGTGCTTTGAACTCTTTAGTTCGATGTTCAAGCCCCGCCACCTAACTTTGGTGGTAGGCATCTTTGCTGTCGTCCGGTTCTGTAGCATGCCTGATCTTATGCCTTATGAGGCTCGCCACTTCAAGTCCCGGGGCTTGGATTGCTAGTTATCACTGAACAGCAGGTCCTCGTGACTATAGGGCTTTATCCGCCTGCTGTCCATCACACGCTGGTGTGTAATATAAAACTCTGAGTCTCGGAACCCAGAGTTGCGAAACACATACTGCCCGTTAGGTCAGGCTTGCTTGAATCAACGATCAGGTGCAATAAAATTGTTAATGTTCTTTTATTCCCAGTTAGTCTATAAACATAATGTTTTGGTCAGTTTTATTTGAATAGTTGATGCAGCTCACTGGTTTAAGGCTATATGATTCACTATCCTTTCGGTTTACTTATTCGGAGCGCATAACCTCTGGTCTTTGCACAAAAAGCTCTCAGATCGTGGTGTGGTTGCGTAAGATTTTCTCTATTGTCGTTCGGTGACCTTGTCCACCCACTAGGGAATCGTTGTCCTAGCATACCGTATATCGTCAACCGAGAGCTTTAGGCCTCAATCTGGTTAGGGTTGTGGGCGTTAACGCTTGCTTCAGCATCGTCAAACCACAGATAAAGTTTAGGGAAATGGCCACAAAGATAAAATTTGTGAGTCTAGTGGCGCTACCTATACGCCCAACGGTCCCGGTTATGGATCGTAGTCTGTTTTTGTTGAGAGACGACATTGTTTTCTTCTTTCTTGGCCGTTTTTGGAAGTGCAAAAGGAGCGATGGGTTCATGGCCATTTAGCACGAGCCAGTCGTGGTGGGGTCAATACCTGCGTCTAAATATTTCGGCTCCAATAGCCTGCAAACATGGATTGGTGCACACGCTGAGATAGTGTTAAAGGAGAAATAGCAAATCCTTATCGAAATTTGCTGCACGGTGGCATATAATGTATGCTGAGAATTCACACGAAGTGTCTGATGACCAGTGAAAGAAGTGCTACTGTCTTGAACATCCTGCTTGATTTCTCTATTCTCAAGGGCTTAGATTAGAAAAAATTTCATCTCATGGCATGAATAACGCGCATTCATAAACACTAATTACAGTGACATAGCTGTAATAGGTAGACTATTCTAATGAGTAATTGACAACATTGTGCCTCCACTATCGCACAAATAAGAGACGACTTGACCCAGTTACAAAAAACCTCGACCGTAGTGAGCTGGCTCTCTGTCAATCACTCTTTCCCGTATTGTCCAAATTCATGAACTCTTTTGCTAATAACTTTGAGATGGATAGTTTGGTAAAACAGTGTATTCTCTACAGCTCAAATTAAGTTTTGACAAAAAGGTTTAGTAACACCAATCTTTTCTCTTGAAAAGGGGTTAATCCACGAAGCTAGTTGTCCCAAAGCTGAAAATGGAGTTGGAGAAAATATTCTAATGTGGAAAAATCACGTCATGTTTACGTCCAGATTACCTCCGCACTCATTACTCAAATGCAAGGTCCCTGTTTCTATAGTCTCATTCGGTATGTACTTTTTCTTGTTCGCTATGTATATCGATTGTACGAGCGGACCCGTAACGGCCAAAGTTTGTGTAAAACTAGAGAAGCTACGTCCACTACAAATCACGTTGTTTCGCACGTTGCCGAAAACAGCGTATACTGCCCGTTGAATGCAGATGTTGTTTTGGCTCAGTATTGCATTATTCAAACTCGTGCATATGCAGAGCGTTAAGCTTATAAGTTGCGTCAATTTCTGCACGTTCCCTGCGTAAATTACATACCGAATGGGACCCCATTTTGCACAAATATTTGACTCAATGTTCCTCCAGTAATACCCTCAATAACAGAACAAGTTGACTGTACAGTCCACTGATACTTCACATGTGGATTAAATGCACAAGTACCGTTTTTCTAATTATTAATAATTATAAATACGATTGAACAAAACAGTTTGAGTGTTCCACATCGTGCCGGACCTACCTCCAGAGCGATTGCCACCGGGATTGCAGCTCCGTCCCTGGTCAGATCCGGTTCTTTTTGCCAAACTCGAGTGATCGCCCGCGCTGCGGCCTGATAATTTTTCACTGTGTGATCACCCAGAAACGGTCGACCATCACGGAAAATTTTTATCTCTAATCGGTTTGGGGATCCACGCAATTGGTGCAATTGTTCCAAATAGGCTTTCACTTTTTGCGCAATCTTCTTCGGCGGTTGTGCGGGTACCACACGGACGGAAAATTTACCCATAACCTGAACACCGTATATAATAGATGGACGGGTCCGCTGAAAGCGAGGCATGAATAGGGACTAACCTTTCTCGAGATCAGTGTCGGTGCGCCCGGTTTATCAAAGGAATGTTCAATACCGTGAATCGATATAGACGGCAAGCACCAACGACGCCGTAGTAAGTCCACTTTATCGTACGATTGTAGACCTGGTACTGCAATGTTATTCTGGTATGTGTTTGGCTGAAAATCGAGGCGACCGAATCGCCTAAAGGGCAGAGAACGGGGAAGTAAAACGATTTTTTCCTCGACTGATGAGTTGTGCAAATCTTAGATGAACAAGCGGTCTCATATTTACTCAGACGGGTCTTTAGTCTGTTATTTATTTTGGACACTTCATATGTGATAAAATTTGCTTCAGTATAATAGTAAGTTCTTTAACTTACATAAACAAACCGAAATGATACCGAACTTCGTACTAATTGCCTGGGTGTTGTTGGACCAAATGGTTATCGAGGCCTTATTTCTAGAGAGAAGTCGGTATTGCAACTAATAGTTGTTTAATACTGGTAACGCGAAGGAGAATGTCCCAAAATGGTATACATATTTCAACAGGGTAAATTGACCTTCACACGCGTCTACAGTTTGTGACTACATACAACGAGTTTGTACTGATCACGGACGTTTAGATTTTTTGAAATTTGTAATTATAGATTTGTTCAAGCTGTTACCATGGCCAATTCTGACTGGTGGTTAGCATTCTACAGCGGTAGCCCCAATCTAAGCGATATGGTTGCTTAATCCTTAAACTTCACGTGCAAGACTACCATCGGTTTGCGGTTTCGGCGGTCGCTGTATACGCAGTTCATCCTGGGTAGGATGGTGCGAATTAAAACGCCATGCGTTATGCGATAAAAGCACCTTAGCAGTAGACATTCGGAGGAACTGATTTCACCGTTTCAGAAGCATATTAC